TATTTGTAGAGCAAGCTTAAGGGATGGGGGGGGGGGGGGCGTTCAAGTCCCTGCAGCTTTCTTGGCAAGATTTTGGAAGTGGTTTGCCATTGACTCCTTCCTAGAGCTGAGAGAGTATGACTGGCCCAAGGTCACCCAGCTGGCTTTGTGCCTAAAGCAGGACAAGAACTCACTGTCTCCCAGTTTCTAGACTGATGCCTTAACTGCTACATCAAACTGCCTCTTGTTATAAGAACATTTACTCAAAAGTAAAAGTCCCACTGTATGCAAATGTGCTCACTCTCCTAGATTAGCCAATATTATCTGAATTAGGACCTTAGTTCACAATTCCTCACATATGACATGAACATATTTATAGATTTTAAATGTTTGTATACAAATCTAAAAAATTGTTGGGACAAATGTTTAGAACTGTGTACAAATGTTTTAAATTCATTTTTACAAATTTTTATGTTTTAAATTTAGATATCCAGGTTTATGACAAACATACAATAAATATCAATATAAATACAATAAAGTTAATATTTTTATTCAAATCCAGTAAAGTTAATTTTCAAAATACCAAGCTGTTACAATAGGATATATTACAGAATATATAACTCAGTTAAAAAGTTTATAAAGTACTCTTAAAATCTACTGCCACAAATGTTTCTCCACTATCTAATCTTTTCTTTTATTCTTAAGAGCCATTGTTCTCTTTGCAGATAGTAAAACATTTAATTAGTGAATGTGCTTCCTGTCATAATGTAAATAATGCATACCAATCTCTAATGCATGCAACGGAACCTTAAGTTTTCATTCAGTTGTTTTAGCTGAGTTGATCAAAGTTTTGGCACTTTCAAAACTAAATCCATTAGCTCATAAACAATACATTATATGCAATTTATAATACATGGCTAACATGTGGAAAGTTTAAAAGCTGTTGTTAGGCTCCAAAGACAAGCAATTTAAGAATACAAAAATATTTTATTTTGTACTATAGATAGCATAAAAAGGGAATATTACATAAAATTATTCACTTAAAACACCCAGATCATTCATGCAAAAGTCATGAAATTTAAGGAATATAATCCAGCATAATTTTTAATAATATAGTGTGCATGCTTTGACTATATGTTCTATAGCTTAAGTAAAATACATACTTGAAAAGTTATGAGAATACAAAAACTGAATGTTATATTTAGGATTAAATTACCTATTTACCTACCTAAATTTATTATAGTACAGTATTGCAATGTTTGTATGGGCCACAGCCATGAAATACAAATATAGGATGTGAGAAACTATAAAAAGGTGAATAAGAAAAAATAATGATAGTTATACGTCCTCAAAAGCATAGTTATTCTTAGCTAATATCTAAGGTCTAACCACCATCTTTTATTGCCCAAAGTAATGTAAAGACAACATTCATAGTACTTTCTCTTCCTCTCTCTCTCTCTCTCCCCTCCTTTCCTTCATGCATTATAATAGCCATAGTACTTGTGCAACTGTACTATGACAAATAATACAGCATGCACATGAATGCACCTTATTACTTATTTAAAAAGTTCCACCATAAATAATGTGGAAAATAGTCCAGAAGAATAGCTGTGTTTGTTGCAAAGCTTCAGATACTGTAGTGAAATATGACCTTAATCAGTTAGTAGAAGAAGTCAATGCCTTATATGGCAAGAACGAACTCAGAACAGAAGCAGGAGTATGAGATTTCTACTGACAAAAAAACAGACAGGCCTCTGTAAACAATGCACATCTTGTAGCTATTGTCAAGTTAATGTTATTTAACAGAGAGTATCAGACTACTTTATAAGCACAAATGCCTAATTTTTTTCATTCTATCAGCTGTCATTAACAAAAGCTTAATTCATCAGGTAGCATATATTTAGACTGTTCATTAAATAAATTAGGGGATCAGATAAGATTGTAGAAATAAAAGAGCAACAACACTTTTTTTTACTAAATTGATATATAATGGCATCTATCAGTCATTCAATTTTGTTATCTGTGTCTGATAAATAATACTTCTTCCACTTATGAGCAAAGGTTTTATATGTTTAACTAAGTATGAATGAGCAAAATGTATCCTCTCTTACATTTTATAGGTGGAACTTTATCTTTTAAATGTATCTGAGTTTCTTCTGCTTTGGCTGCAGCAACAGAAAAAAGGAACAACTTGACTGTTTCCCACATTTGGTGCATGCAGAGACAAGATGTATCCATAACCTATTGAAGTTACAGCTATCCCTATGGAATCTGGTGGTGTGCCTTAAATGCTATGGCGGTGATCATAATACAAAAGTACCATAACAACTATTGTTCTTTTTGGGTATATTTCCAAAATAGAGTATTAATTCAGTTTGAAGAAGGTTTTTAGATGAAGATAGAGCAGAGCTATGCATGCAGAATTTTACTGTTGCAGTACAGTCAAGGCACAAAAAAATAACACTGGAAAATAATTAATACTAGTATATTTTATGGTAAAGTAGGAGAATCAGAATTCCTCGTTGAATCCAGTTATGCACATATAAATCACATGTTTATATAACTCAAGAAGTGAAATGAAATTAAGTAAGCTGCAGTATCCTCAAGGAAGGTAAAAAAATGTCAAAATGGCAGTTGTGGCAATGTGACAGAAATACTATTCCTTTTGTACATGCATAAATGTCATACACCAACACAAAAGGTGCTGCTACAATTGCTATCTTGATTTTTTGACATGCTTCCCCTCTCTCCCAAGACTTTCCTGTTTGCAAGAACACACATTTATTATTGTTGGAAGAAATTACAGAAATTATGTCCCTTAAAATATACAAATTACCTCAAAAGCAAAGAAAGTATGCTTGTTGCTTTAGAATGCTTTTTTAACCCATGTTCTATTTTAATTAAAAGACAATAAACAGACTAGTAAACATATGATAACTGATTACAATCCTTTGTAGACTGGCTTGCAGACTGAATGAAAATAAACAATTACAGTGACAGCCATTGCATACCAAATTAAGCAAAATTCTCTGAGAGAGCATCAAGCAGTGTGGCTTTTACATGCAGACTGCTCTTACTTTTACTAGATGTAGGATCTATGCAGCTACTGCCAACAGTCCTGTTAGGATGTGTTATGTGATGATTTTCCACAATGGAAAATGCAGGGTGTAAAAACAACTTGTTTCATGCTGTACAGCAAATGAATTTGGAAGTAAATGGTTTCAAGAAAAAATAGTTTTATTTACACTAAAAAGAAAAATAGCATGCAATCTGTAGAATAGCAGTAAGATTAGCTAGACATCAGTAAATACAGCACGAGCTAAATTAGATAAAGCGGTCAACAATATTCAGACCAAATTCATACTAATTATGAAGCTTGTTATTCCTTGAAGAAATGCTTTATTTTGTAAACTGCATCTAATTACTTCTATATACAGTTGCTTTTTTTCCCATAGTTTCAAAGTTGAAAAGAAAAAAGGGAAAAAAAAGTTTGAATTGCACTGTAAACAGAAAACCAAGACTAGAACCAGCCTATGGAAGGAAAATTGCTAGGCTATACAAAACAAGAAATTGAATCTCAACTGACCTTTTTCAGACTCATCTGAAACAAAATAAATTGTTCTAATTCTTTCTGTTGAAGAGGTCACATTTGCCCACTATCTTCTTTCAAATGGATAGAAGCTATTCTGCACATGACCGTATCACTCTATCAGCTGCCTGTTCCACAGCTGTTCAAAGTTCCTGCTGTCCACTCTTATTCTCTTTTTATTTTAATTCTGTTACCAAACACCCAGTGCTTTAGTAGGTCCCCAGTTCCTCTGTTTTCTTTTTGACTTACTTCCCTTCCCTACCTTGTGGAAAGATATCTAGAACAAAGAATAAAAGACAGTGAAATAGTTTATTTACAAATGGAACTGTAGCTTTAAGTATCTCTGCCTCAATAAAGGACCCATTTTTTATATGGGCTATCATTACTACAGGTCCATTTTCTCTAAAAGCAAATGTTAGACTTTGAAGTTTACTATCATAAATCATCAGAATTTTCAAATCATAATTAATGTAATTAATTTCCATTTTTATTTTAGTATTTTCTTGCCCAGTCTTTCCAGGTTCAGGTATTATTTTACTTTAAAAATTATTCCTTGGAGAATAAATGCTTGATACCATACATAAACATGCATAGCATAACTGTGATTTTTAGCCATCTACAGGTTATTTTACATGTAAAAGTAATATGTTGCTAAATCCAGAAATAAAATACTAAAACATAAATAACACTATTATTCTCAGTTTTATGGCTTAAAATAGTAAATGTATATGTAAATGTATATGTATCTTCAGAGGGCACAAGGGGCCAAGTGACAAAACATGTGGCGATATTACAGTGCAAATCCCATGACTTACATACAGTACTTGCATCTGATGTCATGATGCATGTACAAAAAGGTGGGGCTTGCTTGCACAGTGATGTCATGATGTATGCTTAATTATTTTTTATCTTCACAGTTAGTAATGGTCACTACATTTAAATGAAAGAATTTACCATATCCAGAAAAGTTCTATCTGAAACAGATCAAAATGCTCAGGAAAATAATTTCTTGTTTGTTTGTTTATTTATTTATAACATTATTTAAGTAATAAGCATTATAGTTCTGGGGGGAAAATATCCCCCTCATAATTCAGATGAAATTTATATTTTTACAACTTCAGATGAAATTTTATTTATTTATTTGAATTATTAGCTGTCCAACTCCAAAGTTATATTTTTACAACTTCTTGAGTCTAAAGTTGCAATCTTTAGACTTAGTTCTCAGAGATGAAATCCAATAATGTCTCCAACTTTCTATCCCACCCAGCCTTCCTTGTGGCAGAAATTAGGGAAATCAAAGAAGAGGTACGTATAACTGGATTCTGTGACTGGTGTCTAAACAATTAGCCTAAACACTGTCCCACCCCCTAATCTTTCCAAGACTCAGCTGATATTTATTTAGCCTGGGCAAAGTCCCAAAGTGTTACTTTGATGAAGCACCCCTTTGATAAGGCCCAGTAAAATAGTCTTTCCTTTCTAGGTATTGCATTGGAACACAGAAGTCACGTTTATGAAGTGCAGCAGCTGAACAAAGTGATTGGAGACAAGGGGATTCTGTCTATATACATTTATTTGCAACCATAGCTTTTAGCAAACTTTTTAGCAAAATTGGTATAAAATTACAACAATCCATATCAGTTCAATGCATCCCCTCTAATATTAATAGCACTATTTGTCAACATCTGCGTGGTTCTGTGAAATGAAGCAGCATAGTCCTGATAGTGATAACTCTATTGCAGGATTAAACGGACCTTCCTTTTTGTTGTAATGAGAAGAAACAAAAACAAAATTAAACAAAATGCCAGGAAGAAGGTGGGGCATCACAAACATTTCTATGCACTCTTCAAATGCATGGTACAACTCTTAGAATTCCTTATCCAGTATTGCTATTACTGAGAATTCTAGAAATTATAGTTATTGTCAACATCTGCATGGTTCTGTAATATTGTAATAAGTAATATTGCTATTACTGAGATTTCTAGAAATTATAGTAGGCACAAATGGAGGGTCCAGCTTTGAAGATAGCTTGAATAACGCCATACTTCTGGATGAACTCTAAAAAATACAAGCTGCTATAAGAAATATGTATATACTTACAGGGACTGGAGAGACCGTAGGTTCTGAAGTGCTTCAGAAGGAACTTGTCTTAGCAGATTGTTCTGAAGCATTCTATATTAGTATATAAAATAGGTGAACAACAACAACAACAAAAAGTTAATTTTGCTGTCTTATGCTAATCAGAACTACCTACCTAGAAGGCAGACACAGATTACATTAATCTTCCCACAGAATGAATCACTTGCTAATTACTGCTATCCAAAACCTATAATAACCCTGATTATTTTTTTTAATAAAAACTTTATTAAGTTATAAAAAGCATAAAGATAAAAGCAAACAAGAACTAATAATCAAGGAGAAAAGTAGAGAACAAGAGAGTTAGAAAGAAAGAATATAAAGCGATAGAAAGTAAAAAGGGAAAAAAGGAAAAAAATACAAAAAGAATGACTTCTGACTTCTTATACAGCAGATATAGATAAATCATATAGTGACCTCTTACTCTAAAACTACATCTTAACATACATATTTTGTATAACCTATTACATTAATCATAAAATCCATATATCATAATTTCATTTTTTCTGTCTCCTGCAAAAAGTCCAAAAGTGGCTTACAACTGGCATTAAAGTTAGTCACTATCTTTTTCTCTAAGCAAAGTTGTCAATTTTGCCATCTTGGCTAACTATTCGCCCTCCATTCTTTCATTGTGGGTAATGTCGAGTCTTTCCACTGGTATAATAACCCTGTTTCATTGATATCACATGAGAGCCAATGTTTTGTAAACTTTGTTCACGAGTTAGAACATTGGAAACCTGGATTTAAATTTCCACTGTCATGAAATTGCTTGAAAACATTGCATCTGCTTTATCCCTCAACTTAATCTACCCTGCAAGGCTGTAAAAGGATTAAATTAGGTACCCTTCCACTAGCTCCTCTGGGTATACAAGAAGACTGTATTTGCTGAGGAACCTAACTTGATATATATTACTGAGACCTGGGTTGATTAGCTGCATATTTGACCCAGTTTTGCTCATCTGGTTTCTCAGTGTAGCATTGACCTAGGCTAGAGGGTTGATTGTCACAGGAAGTGATCAATACAAATATCTTGCTGACTAGAAAACTATTGAGGCAAGCTACAATGGCATTTTGCCCAGCTAGGCAATAGTACCTAGTTTAACTTGGCTGATCTTGAAAAGCTAAGCTGATTAGTACCTATGGGCTGGCCTTAACTGTGGTTTAGATATTCCATGAGCTTGGCTCTGAGGAACTTACAAATATTCATGCTGACATTGGGCTAATAGGCCAGCCCAAGATTTCTATGACAGCTAGGAATTTGTCTCAAACTGCCCTTGCATGGGACGGGTACGCTCTCAATTTAGATTTTTGCCTTGGGATTCGGGGAAGATGTCTAAGATATGGGAGTTACAGTTACTTCACAGTTATAGTCAGAACACTATCTAGTGAACTTGGGTCTGATGGTAACTATCTCATCCTGCTGGTCAGTTTGGTCCCAGAGATTTATGAAAACTGATGGGTTCTTGAATGTTCTATGGAGATGACCATAAGTTAATGGTCCTGTCAGGACTCATTTTAACTTAAGGAATGGGGGAAAAGAATGGTGCATTAATATAAATAACACATGTGCCCTATCTGGCACTGTGGTGCATAGACTTCTGCCTATTTGTTTGTTTGTAAGTTCCAGGCTATAAAACAGGCTTGGACACTTATAGCACAAATAATAGAAATCTAGAAATGAGGCCATCCAGACAAGTTAATGTGCCTACTGTCTGGCAGTGAATGTCACTAAATACACTGTCTGGCAGTGAATGTCACTAAGCTTTGCAGCCTCAGTTGCATCCTTATTGTTATCTAACCAGAAAGTTCAATATTGGTCCCTTCAAAGATCTGCTGTGATAGATTTGTGTGAGATACACTTGAATGCTGCATTTGATACAGCATTTATCAAGACATCAAATTCATTACCTGATATAATTTATGGGATCACCTTCAGTTTATGAAGCTTAAAAAAACAAGATGTTTGTAATTGTAAGTTTTGCATGCTTTTTTGTCTCCTATGTATGGCTAAGTTCACATATAAAGTAAATCATAAAAATTCTAGGAAAGTGAGAGAATATTCTATAATTTTAAGCAATATATTCATTCATTCATTCATTCTAGATTGATTGTATGTATAAGGGAAAAAAAGATATAATCTGTAAATCAACAATATTCTATGTTTATAGTAATTAATGTGTTCATTTTCTATTTTCCCCAGCAAAAATAAAACTAGAAATAAAAATTATCTAATATTTTCATCAATGGAATTGTCCTGTCTTTTGTTAGAAGTTAAAGAAACAAACACATAAACACATTTCTTCTGACATTGTACAGAGGTGCTAACTTCATGCATAAATTGGTTTTGGGAAATTCTTTAAAACAGTGAAGACATCTTTTACAATACAGAACTGTATCAAAATAAATAATTTAGCTTTAAATACAGTGTTGCTTTAATTAGCATAAATTCCTGGAAGATTTTAATACATAGCCTAAAATGTATAAAACAATACTATAATTTACTTACAATATTTTAAGTCTAAGGAGTCCAGCAAATGCTCCTCTGGGGATATGTGTCAAGCCATTTCCTGCCAGACGTCTGCAGGGTTAAAAGATAAAAGATAAACAGATTTCATCTCATGTGGAATTAATTTGGATGTTAAAATGTACAAGACAGCAGTGTTGGAACCACCAGAGCCAGAAGTAGTTGTTTAAGAACTCTGTTTTGTCATAATTAATGTTCTGTGCAAAACATCCTGTAACTATACAGTCCATTTACAAGCAGCTGGGCAACTGTAGTTTGCCTCAATAAATCTAGTTTATGTTACATGTGTAATTGTTCAATCTGTTCTGCTTCAGTAGCAAATAATGCAACATTGTAGGCTGTGGATGGTTTACTAGTTGTATATCATTATGATAACTTTATAGTTGTCCCACAAGACACAAACATAGTCAGAGGAAACATTTTTTCTGAAGTAGAAACTTCATCAGCTTTGAATTTACTTAAGCAAATGAGCCCCAATCCATATATAAACACCTCCTATCTAACAGGCAGAAAGGGACAACATTAAAAATAATCTGATTTTAAAACCTCACAATCAGCTCTTGGGTTGTCTTTTTCATGTAAACAAAACTGCTTTGGATTTGGATTGCCATTCAGCTTACAGCTGTTCCTTCTTAATTCCCTAGCTGTTTCCTTTGGTGGAAAATACAACCGTGTCTGGTTTGCAACCTGCCCTTTTGGCCTGCCCTGTTGTCTTCAAATGCCTACTCCTATGGTTGAAGTAACATTAATTGGGTTAACTCATGGGCTTATCTGTGTCAAAAGGAAAGCCATCTTACTCTTCATCTTTACTCTTTAGAGCTTTGTGCACCCATAAAAATCTTAAACATCAGCAGCAACATTTTGGATGTATTAGAATTTAAGCCAGAAAGTTCCCGAATTTCTTGGAATAAACTTGAACTCCTAGCACATGATAGGCTGAGTATGATTTCACAATCAGTAGGCTGCTCTAGGTGCTCTAGGAATAATGACAAGAATCCCTAGCCTGAAGAATTTTGAGATGTATTGGCTTAAAGGCCACCTTGTCAGGCGGGGTGGGATTCTAGCATTTATTAGTTAATTTAATATACTGACAGCTCTTAAATATGTATTGTTCACATAACTTTCAAATATCTATTATCAGAAACTTAATGGAATGACCTTTGTTCAAGTTAAAAAGCATTTTGATTGGTCTCACAAGTTCCGTTATGCTATAATTAGTTTAAAACATGTTTTGTTGATTAAGTTACAATTGGCTGTGCTCTCACAACATGAAAAGCCATAAACAATTCTTTAAAAAATGGAATCATGCAAAGCCAAATCCTGAACTAAATCTTTAAATTGCTCTATTGATTATTCAGCAAATGTATTATACACATATAACTTTTCTTCATTAGATTTATATCTAGTTTTTTTGCTCCAAGAGCTCAAGACAGCTTACATGGAGATCTTCCTTCATTTGATCCCAACAACTCTGTGAGACAGGATGGGCTGAAAGAGAATACCTGCCCCAAATCACCCAGTATTAATCACCTTGATAGCTTTCTTATTTTATTCTATTCTGTTTTAAATTTATAAGATTCCAAATATAACAATGAGTGAAATGAATAAAGGACTGAAGTTCAACCAGTTTCTAAATAAGGCTATATATTATGTTGAACTTCTGTGCTTCATTTCTTCATTCTATGTGCATCCTTGAATGGATTATTTAAAATATAGTCCTATTTACTCATTGAATTCCTTGTTATTCATTACATAGTAAGTGTTCAGGATGACTGTTGCAATCTCTTGAACAAAATTTCATTAACGTTTCACGTTTTAAACAATGTCATAGTGCTCTTGCTTGCATTGTCAAGTCTGACTTATATTTACAATGTGCTGTTGGCTGTTTGCCTGCTTGGGACAGACATGTCTGATAAATAAACATGACTGCATTTTAAAATATAACTCAGTATTCTGTACTATATGCATCCTTTGCAAAACAGGATGAGAAAATAATTCACTACTACAGGAAGAAACATATATTGAGAATGCAACATCAAAAGCTGCCATCTGCATTAAAACCATGTTTATATATAAGAATAGACTCATATCACTGATATCCAGAAATCAGTTTTCATTGTGACCAGCTCTACAAGTTTAATATCAAAGTCCATTCTAGATGTTCAATAAAGAGAATATCACTGGATATTGTTATCGTTCTTTTTAAAATTTAGTTTTATGGTTTATCATCTTTCAACCTGGCAAAGAATTCCATTTATTGTGCATGATATAAATGAATATTCACATTATCTTTTTCTAAATTTGCTGCATATTAATTTAATCATGTAGAATTGAGAATAATTGCTTTTAATTCATGGTCCCTCCTCCCAAGCTCAAAACTGACCTAGCACCTTTTTGCTCAAATGACATTAACTAATTTTAAAAGTTGAGCTTCTTTTTTCTCTCCTGGTTCTGCACTGCATCAGAACAAAGCTTGCCTTTCTTTTTCTCTTGCATTGCTGGAGTTTGTGGCAATCCATTCTTCTATTGATGGGAATTCTTACCTGTCCAGGCTACTGGGATCAAGCAAGCCATTCATTTTAAAGCAGTCACTCAGAAAACTTCAAGTAGCTTGGAGCTTTTCATACCCACTAATCTTTGTCAGAAAAAAGGGAGAAGCAGACACAACTCTTTTAGCCTGGGCTACTGTGCACTAAAGAGAACTTGCAAAGATCTGCAAAACGTTAGAACAGCCTGGATCAATCCCAGATGTATTTTCATATTGAATCCCTGGAGTCTGTCCGCATGGTTTAGGACCTTCTCCCCTCTTCCACAGTCCAGCCAAGCAGTAGAAAATCATGGTTATAGATATGGGAAAGCACTTGCAATTACAACATTATCAGTATGGTAGCATTACAGATTCAAATACTTTTAAATGCAATATAGTGATGGTGGCAAGCCAGCGGGAACCAACCTCCCTTCTTTCCACAGTGATACATTTCTTCCATTTTAAAACAGTGGCAGTTTATGAAACCACAATTAAGTCAAAGGAAGTAATATTTTTTTCTTTGATTTTCAGTTTTTATAAATCAGTGTTTTTTTTAAATTTGGAGATTGTAATTGCTTCTTTTACTGAATCTAGTACTTCACTGCTGAATGTTGTTTAACCTTATAGTTGTTTCTCACTGATGGTCACAGAAAATATAAAGCAGACAAGTTCTACATCAGACTCTTTTTTTAAATGGCATGAAACTTAGTTACATCAACTAAATTTAAGGAAGCTTTGTCATTTATTCTGCACAATGGTTGTTATCTGAAACCAAGTCCCAAATAATTCTTTTGGGAAAGGGGAGGGAAGAAAGAACAAATCTCTCCTCAAGTGAATTTTTCTCTGTATTGTTCTACTAATGGCACCTGTTGTAAAGTTATTGAGTAATAGCAGTACACGGAAAAACTGCTTGGAGCTTTGCCCATTCTGCTTTTGTTTGAGATGGTGATTTTTCAGCCTTAGAAAAGAAATCAGATACGTTTCTCTCAACAGTGCCATAACTAGCTCCAACAACATTGCTGGCTTTCTCCTTCAGAATTGTAGAAACAATCAAGTGCCTGCAAGTTCTACAGCACGTGGTATTCATATGCAGTTGTAGGAGAATGACTGGTGAGGCTCTGCCGAATAGTAGAATATACTGGGTTCAGATCATAAATGTTGCAGTAAATGGCCAGGATTCACACAAGAATGTTCCTAAATGTTCATAGAAGACAGTGAAGGTTTTGACTTCTTTTAAAGATAAAAAGTATATTATAATGGGATTGGGTGCCAGTCTAATACCAACTATTCAAGTCTCCAACTGGAGGAAAATTCAAAACAAAACACCTCAAAAAGAGGGAAAGTAATTGCACAGTACTCCTAAGAAAATAAATTTAATTCTGGCATTTTAAAGGGGAAACAAGAAGATGATCCATTTCTTTCCTGTAAACAAAATCATATTTTTAAAATTATAGATGGTTTTTTGTGACTCATCAGTAATTAGGGATCATAGACTATAGTATTGTGAAGAGATATGAACTCAAGTCCAAACACTTTGGTTATTTATATTTATATTTTTATGTTTATTTACAGTCCAAGACCAAATCACAAAATTTAAAATGCAGTACACCCTTAATACATGCATGTGTAACAATAGGTACATATACAGCATAAAGGAAGAAACCTTATAAAATAAACAATTAATTGAAGGCACCAAATAGTTTCTATTAGCTAAGGCTATAAATAAAATTTTTGCTACTGCCTTCAAAACACCTGGGTATTGATTGTTTAGTAAGAATACCTCAATCTCCTCATCATGAGTGGTGTTTATCAGATTCAAGAGCAGGTGTATTAGTTCTGATCACCAATGAGAGTACAGTGAGCATTTTAAAATGATGTGTGCTTTTCAACTTCTACTGTATGTTTGAGCAAATACATATTTGATCTTCATATGGAAGTTTGGCATATTGACCAGCTGTCACCCTAGTAGGGAGAGCATCTATATGGGCTAGGGAAAAGACCCTTCTATGTGGGGCATACAGAATCTTATAGAAGTAATTGGAGAGTATCCAAGGGTAGAGAGCAATTTGTCTGTAAGAGAGATGGGAAAGTTTGGATCTGTCTACCTGAACGTGGTTATTAAATTTATCCAGAATACCTGTGATGTTTCACTTGAGTTACAGTTGTGAAGGGTGAGGATTTGAAAGCATTTGCACATTCCTAATTTTATATTTGGTTACTGTAACCAAGTTTTATGTCTGTTGAGTGCTTTCCAACATTCCACTTGGGATCCTGTGTTTGATTAACTAGGTTTTGCAGCATTTTTTTTTCTTTTAAAGCAAATCACTGAATGAGAAACCTAAGCTACACAGGGTCCTCTGATGCACAGTTAGCCTTGAGGGATGCTAAAAGCTAAAGAGTAAGGAAACAGTAATTAAAAGTGATTACAAGACGACTTAGTAGTCTGAAATATGAATGCGTGCGTCCTTGACACAGTCAGTGGGTTTTGGTTTTGATTATAACTTTACTTGCTATTTTAATAAACATGAGCCAGTATTCAAACTTCTAATATCCTGCTGCTTAACTATATCCAAATAGCAATCCAGTTTTTTAAACAACTGTTAACAAAATTAATTTGCAGAGCTCTGTCTTTGCTTAAAAAGGTTGCAGCCTCATGGTAACATTTTGAGGGTGCGTAGGGCTAGTAAGTGCATTTCAACTAAATGTTCCTGTATGCGCCAAAACTCACAGCTTTTTATGTTAACTGATGGTCAAAGTAAGTAGGAGAGAAACTCCCAGAAATATATCTAGTTTTCAGCTATGCCAGTCAAGAATACATTGATACATACAGCTCTTCCAGGAAGCGGAGTTTATGCAGAGAGTTCAAGGGCAGTTTAGAGATATTATTCATACTGAGGTCACTGTAAAGGAAGAAAAAAAAGACTGCAATATAACTGCAATATTAAGCTGATAAATTATACATCTTAAGGAATATGTTAACAACAAATATAAATATTTCTTGTCCCAGGGCTGATTTTATATGTAAAATATGACATGCTAGAGCATTCTTTTTCAAATTGTTTCAAATATTATAAATAATTATAATAATATTAATATTTTGCTATTATTGGCCTAATATAGCAGGGGAAAAAGAAGACAAAAAGAAAGGAAATTAAAATGCTATCATAGTTAATTTTTGGAGGGTAAGATATCCTAGATTGATTAAAATGGAAGACAAATTTTGCATCATATTAAAATATTTATTATATCTACATTTTTAAAGATAAAGTGAATTTCACCTAAGCCAGCTGTGCTGTTAAATATAACTCTACATATTTTGCATTATCTCACTATTCCAATCTGTAAAAACTTATTTCAGATACACCACATTTCCTAGATGGATTCTGCACAGTTCATGTCACAGAAAACCAACAGCTTTTTCTAGGTCACTCAGCTTTAGTTGTATATAATATTCTGTTTAATTGGTTTCTTAAGAATTTAGTGTTTTTCCTACTCTATTTTAGAAAATGATATAACTTGATGATTAAATCACCTCTGACCATTTAGGACAAAATCCATGGGCACGCTATGCTGCATAATAAAAGGTCTCATGCCTTTCATTCAAGACCTCTTCTAATGTTTTTTGCCTGATCAGTCCAATTAAGTAATGGAATGCAAAATAAAATACTATTAGTGTATTTGCATGTGTATGGTGTGTGTGTATGTATATGTGTATATACATGTACACATGCATATACATATATATCTACATACTTGCACAGACATACAATCAAAATTAAGTATTGAAACCCACAGGCATTCACCCAGGGCCCAAGCCCACCAAAAGGCCCAATCAATCCACCATTTTATTTCCCCTTCTCTCTCCTTGATAAATGTTAACTGTACCAGTAAAAATAAATAATATCTTCAGGAAGGGTTGTTTCTGCACCCCCTATTTTAATTTCTCCATCACCACCACTACATCATCTTAATCATCAGAGCATCTCTGGAACAATGCTTTATGGGAACAACAGTTACATTGTGAGTTGATGCAAACTAGGGCTTGACAGGGTTTTTTTGTTTTGTTTTTTATGCTACTGGTTTCACTGAAATAATCTCATTATTTCAGTGAAATAAAGCAAGGAAATCCTGGTAGAATTTACATAACAATTGTCTGTTTATTATGTGACTTATCCCTGCCCAAACTCAGAGGGTCTCTAGATGGTTTACAGAAATACTAAACATACTAAAAACATACTAAAAACAATAACAATAAACAATAATAAATTACAATGATTACAGTCACTATATGGCAGCAGTTATGGTCCATCCAGTGCTGGTAATATCTAGGAGTGTGTCAATTATGCTGTTTAGTGAGACCTTCCAATCAAGAAACAATTTTCCATGCCTTAATTAAATCATGTCTAGGTTACTACTACTGCTGTCAATAAAAGCATCTGGATTTTCCACTGATACAAAATTCAACAGCTGAGTTATAGACTGGTTCAGGGTGTCATGATCATATGATACTGAAAGAACTATATGGTTACTGATTATTTTCTGAGCTTATTTCAAGATTCTAGTAATTTTTAGAGCCCTTGTCTTGTCTGTCTGGGGGGGACAACCTCTGCTGATGGTAATATATGCAGGGAAGACCTTTTGGTTTATAGTCCTGCATGCCAAAATCTGCTAGCCTGGCATGTGGGAAAGAACTTGCAGACGGTATCAAAAGATACCATTTTAATTTAACTCTTTAAAAATGATTTTAATATGAACAGGTATTATTGCCATATTGTTTATTGAATGGTTGTTTTTCTAATTCTGTATGCTAGCTTAGAATAATTATATCAGATGTTTAAAATATAAGAAAATAGAAGCATTAAAAAAAACCTCCAAGGTTTATAATACTGTTGTATCTTTGGGCTGGGAGGGAAGTAATCCAAAATGTATTGCTTAGTGAGGACTGTCATGTGCAATGACTATGTCTTGCCAACTGTTGAAGAAAAACAAAACAGACAACTAGGAGAAAGTTGAATATGATGGAGTATCTTTGAAAAGGTTATGATTGGCTAACTGGTAGTAATATATAAAATAAGGTAATTGTTATAATAGCAACTTTGTTTCTAGGAAAATGATAGTTTCCTAGAAAAAAATAATAAAATGAACTTAACTATGTGAGCTAAATGGAAATATTTACATTTAAGTTACTGATTATATTAGATAAATTCAGCCTTTAAAACCTATGTATTCTTCTTCAGTTGGCCATGTTACTCATTAGTCAAAAATGGTACTTATTCAATATGGGATATATAACAGGGAAATGCCTCATCAATACATAAATCTTTATCTTGTAGGAGGTTATTATAAGCAGTTGAGCTACTGCATACATCTTCAATTCTTACAAGAATCTAAAATTGCATCAAGGCAACAGTTTTAAATGTGTAATTATATTTTTTTACTAAATCACAGTTGCAACTTTAACAACATACAATTATTTAGGAACTCTTGGGAATAATTCTTTGATGATTATGCACCTGCAGGTAGAACTGTAATGTTCATTTCTAAGCCTGGAAGGTTTTTTTAAACTTCTTTATTTCATGTAATCATATGTTCCAAGATAGTTGAGTCCTTTTTCTCTTACTCTAAATTAGAAGTGTAATCTCATGGAAACAACAGCTCTTATTTCAAAACATTCTTTAAAAAGAAAAAATATATGGCATATAATGATAATCATAACACACATAAACCATATCAGATTAGTATAGAAGTAGCTCTAGGCTACTTACAATTAATTAACAAACTAATTTTAAAAACAAAGAAAAGAAAATCAGTAAACCGGTAATGGGAAAACAGCATTAAACACTTTATCAGAGAACACATGCTAAATACAAATCATGTTTTTTCATGTACTGTTATATTTGCCTTGTCATTAATAATGGTTATAACTAATTTGGATTAACTTTTAATCACACCTGCCAAAATTGTTTTGTAAGTTATAGCTGATATTAACACTGCAAATCCACTATTAAATCATAGTTCTAAAAGTGAAAAGAAGTCACATTACATAGAGTGTATTTGAGTGAGCAATATATGAGTTTTCTATGTGCTTACTCATATGATAAAGATATTTTCTAAAGTGTTTTCCCTAGACTCACCCTAGGACTTAAGAAGATCTCAGGTAGAAGCTTACACTCTGAGCCACTTTGTTGTACAGTACTAGTTACTATGCTGAACTATGTAGTACAGCTACAGTATTTATTCATTAATTTTGTACTTTCTCCAAAGAAATAACAGTAGCTGGGGTAGTCCTGTTCTTGACACTGTGAGACTGTACTGACACTATGCTGTCTGGAACAGGCCCTCAATAGGGCAAGGTCTTTGAAAATTCTTTCAGTACTGAGTGGCAATACTAGTTTTCATTTATTTTACATTTACTGCTCCCACGCCAGCTGCTGAAGGATATTTTACTCTGTTATATGGCAGTGATGATGGCCTTGTTGTGAATGGGCCAGTCATGATTTTTCATCCTAAGATCACTGAGCTTTATAACTAAATGTGATTGGAACCAGAGTCTCCATGAACACCAACTAATGGACTGGGACAACAGCGCCTTTCACAATTGTCCATGCTGCCTAAGCTCTTGAAAGTTGTAATTCAAAATCCGTTTACTTTTTCAAGGGAGATCCAAGCAAATCTTTTCTCTTCATTTATTGCTTGGAAAAAGGATATTTCATTATGTTTGCAGTATTTTAATATAAAATAAAATCTTGCTCCTCTTTCTCTTCTTTTAATGAATCATAGAGAATTTCCACATATCTGTATCCTAACATAAAAGGGGGTGTTTTGTGATGTTGAGTTTATGGTATGAGTTCCTTTCCAATGGTTAAACACTGGTAATGAAAATTCCCATTTCAGTACTGTTCTTAAGGAGTTAAAAAGAGACTAGCCCTAAAACAATTTTGCAAAGTTATCAACTATAACATAATATTGAAGGTGTAAAGTTAATTTGGGAACAATTCAAGACATTCATGTCAAAACATCTAGTTGTCTATTTATCAGCATCACTACTGAAGAAGAAACATAACAACATAATTGAGCAATTGTCAGTTCAAGACTCTTGAATTCAATAATAAATATAACAGACCATGACAAATAGACAGATTTCAACAACTCATTAAAGAATGTCTCTACCAAGCTTTTGTGGCAAGTGTCTTATTTGCAAGACAAATGCTGAGTTGAAATAACAGCCAATGAATACCACTGGAAAAATGGCTATGTACATAAGGTGACTGCTAAATCTTTTCCTTCTTAATGAACCTTTTAATCTAGGTATTATCTAAATTGGGGGGGGGACCTTTAGTGGTCTTATACTGTATACAGATTAATGAGAAATGCTGAGATTCAGAGTTGGGTGATTGGAAGTTTCCAAGATTTACTGCTGGTTGACCAATGTCATTTAGGTTTCAAAGCCATCAATAACCTATTGAAAACTATTTAAAAAGAAACTTTTCCCCAGTATAGAAAGGGGCAGCTCTGAAATATCTCAGTGATTGTTCCACAATTGTATCCATATCCTTCGCTAACTTCCTTCGATATTTGAAATACTAAAATGGATGGCCTTGAAAAATGGAGGGTATGTCCTTTTTAAAAGACATTTGTGTATCACTGACTATGCCAATCCACTATTGTGTAACCATAAGAATTGAGTAGAATAGTTGCTAGGGAAAAAATTGTAACCTGGTCAACTTTTCAATAGTCTTTTTGCTGATAGTTTTGTTTTTTTTTTCAATGTAGGAGCTGGAAATGCCAAAATAAAATATGTCAATAATTTGATGGATGTGAAGCACTCGGCACAATCTTTAATCTGTATAAAATCTGAGGAGATATTTTTCAATCGCTTAACAACGAATAGGATTTTAAA